CTCGCCTGGTGCAACTTGAGGCCATTTCCTCCTGCTCCATGACAGTGATGCTCCGGTCCTCTCCCTCTTGCCGATGGTTTCTACAAGAGCACAGACCAAGGAGCTTATAAACCTGGCTGAGCCCTTGAGGGAAACAGAGGTTGGAAGCAAAATATGGAAAGGAATTGATTTTTTCTGAGTCATCAGAGAAGAGCTGGAAATCAAAGACAGGATTGACCCAAGCCCCATCCAAGCCCTCCTGTTGTACCTCTGCCTTTGTGTGATGGGTCTCTGTGTGGAGGGGCTGGTTTTGGTAGTGGGGGAAGGGGCTACAGTGATGACTCCTGTGAGAAGCTTCACAAAGCTCCCCTGGCTCCATGGTAGACCTGCCTCCAGCCCAGGCTGAGCCATTAAGCAACAGGGAAATGTCTCTGCAAATCAGTATTTATGAGGAAAGAACTGGTTTGAAAAGAAGAAAGAGGAGAAAACCATGAGAAGAGACCATTGACTGGAACAAAAGAACCATCAGCCTAAACAAAGAGAAAGCTTCACTGCCATGAGGAAGGAGGAGGAGGAGGGAAGACAGAGAACCTCAGACACCAGAATCAACATGCACGGAGCAGGAGAAGGTAAATGAGGTCCCCTGGAGTCCATGGATGTTCAACAGTGGAGCAGATACCCCATGTGTAGGCCATGGAGGACTCCACACTGGAGCAGGAGGCTGTGACCAAGGGCAGGTGTGGCTTTGAGAGCTCATGACAAGCAAGGAGACCCCAGAGCAGAGGAAGGAGATGTGCTGGACTGGAGACCCATCTGCAGCCCATGGATGTCCCCATGCCAAGAGCCAGGAGCTGAGCCCAAAGAGGTCCATGACTCCATGGGCAGCCCACGTTGGAACACTTTGTTCCTGGACTCTTTCAGCCCACAGGAGGGATCTCATGGAGGAAAGAGCAGCAGATGAAGTGACTGAACCCCCATTCCCTGTCCCCTGTGCCCTGGGGGAGAAGGGAGAGAAATGGGGAGCAAAGTGCTGGGAGCCCGGGAAGAAGGGAGGGGTGGGGGAAGGTGCTGTCAGATGGGGTTGGTGTGTCTCACTGTCCTACTCTGATTGATTGATTGGGAACTCATTACATGGATTTTTCTTCCCCAAGTGGAGTCTGTGTTGCCCGTGCCCATCCCTGGTGAGTGACCCTCCCTGTCCTAATCCCAACCCACCAGCCCTTTGCTGAGTTCCTCTCCCCATCTCACCAGGTTGGGAGGAGTCAGTGCAGGACCACATGGTCTGAGCTGTGGGTGAAACCACCCACACTTTGCAGTGCCTGTCACCCGGCTTTGGCAAACACAACCCTCCTCATCACCAGAAATCACAAATAACTGACATCTGTGGTGCTGGATTCTCACAACAGAGCAGCTATTTTTGGTTCTGCTCCGGTGCAGTATCCAGGTCTCTCTGCACAGTGGGGATCTGCTGGGGTGTTTTTGCACTGATGCTTCAGCCTCCCACCACTGGGAGAAGTTAAGAAGATGCTTTTGCAATGGCATCTTGCAAAGTTACATCCCACCACGAAGGCACAGCCCTTGACAGCTCTGTCCTGCTACACTGGCTGTTAATTAAAGTGATGGAGAATTGCTTAGAAAAGCCAAGAATTCTGCAGCAGACAGGGACAGACGACTCCTACCCTGATCCTGAAGTCTCTGATGTGATGATGCTCCTCAAATCAGTGATCTTCAGTGTTCACAGAGCGCTGCCTTATTTGCAGGGCTTTTCTCCAGGAGTTACTTTCCCTTGGGAAAAGATTTTGAATGTACTTGACTTTAAAAAAAAAAACAAAAACTATTCACTTAAAAAGCCAGGAGCTTCTTCCTGAGCTGGGTAATAAATAATTGGTGAGGAAAGGAGCACAGGAGGACAGGCAGCAGGGACAAGGACCCTGTGCTCACTCCCCAATGTCCCCTGCAACCTTCTTCCTTCTCCCCAGGCTCTGTTTTCCCCCAAACCCCAGATTTAAAACCAGAATGGATCAGAGCTCAACTTCAGGATCACGAGATCTTCTTTTCACCATCCTTTTCCCTCTCCTCTTCCCTGCTTCTCCACAAAAAAAGCAACGGTGCCCAGATCAAGAGCTTTGCTGGGCAGAAACGGAGGTGTCCAGTGACAGGACAAGGGGCAATGGTCACAAACAACTGGAAAACAGGAGGGTCAACCTAAACACAAAGAAATAATTCTTTCCTGTGAGGGTACCAGAGCCCTGGGACAGGCTGCCCAGAGAGGGTGTCTCCATCTCTGGAGATGTTCAAAACCCACCTGAACGTGTTCCTGTGTGATCTACTCAAGATGATCCTGCTCTAGCAGGGGGGTTGGACTAGATGATCTTCAGAGGTTCCTTCCAACCCCAACCATTCTGTGATTCTGTGAAACCCCCTGGTCCTCCCCATGCAAAGCTTATTTAAACCTCAGTGCAGGTCCATGGGGGACACTGACCCTCCTGCACACAATCACACAGCTCAAGAAAACAAGATTTTGATCTTAGTTTACAATATCAAACCAGCTGTAGATTGCATCATGTCTACCGGTACAGACCATGTGGTACTTCTGCTTTCTCCCAGTACCACATTAGATCCGTGAGCTAATGAAGCCTCCACCAAGCTCCTCCATGGTTTGAAAGCTCCAGCCTGGATGATGGCAACTTGCATTAAACATCTGCAACTCCTTTTGAAATCCATCAGCATCAGGACTGTGTGTTACAGAGACTCCTCACCTGCCTTCCTCACCTCCCTCCGTCCCACGTTGCCTGTCACTCCCACCTTGAGCTGCTTTGCTTTGCCCAGCTCCACCAGTGCAACCACCATGAGCTGCTCCCAGCTCCAATCTCCATTTCTAGAGCCCAGGGGACAGCTTGGGGACAGAGGCCATGGGATGCCACATCCCTCCTCAGCCCTCTGCCCCAGGAGAGCGCAACACATCCAGGGTTATCCCATTGAGAGAGTTTTATTGCAAGAGATTTCCACGCTGAATTAAATTTGTTAAGAAGAAAAAACAGAGTTCTTTTCATAGCTGTTTTTTTTGCCTCGTTACAGAACTGGTTTCAGTATCTTAAATTATTTTACAGGGTTTGGTTTGGACCACAACCCTTTGTGGAGGAACTCAAAGCCCGTGGCTCACTAATTGCTTGTTAGAAAATGCCATTCTGGGGGAGTTTCAGTCCTCCTTGGGTAGACAGAGAGGAGCTGGTGACAGCAGGGAGAGAGGAAAACTGAGTCAGTCCCAAAGAATCCCCAAGGAGGGGATGATTTCCCTGTATTTCAGAAAGAATTGGGTTTTTAAAAGAGGGTTGGCACAGAAGTGAGGACAAAGACAAGCAGAGTGGCTGCAGAGGAGCTTTGGCTGCAGGGATGAAGGGCAGCTCGTGTTTTATAAAAGCAGCAAAGCAAGAACCAGAAAGTTCAGTCATTTAAGTGAAGTAAATAAGTGTTCTCCACAGTCCACTGCTGGGATGGAATCAAATATAGAAAATATATATTTGATATATATGATATAAAGCAATTAAAGACACCTGAATGGCACTTGAACCCTTCCTGTGCCCTGCCTGGTGTTTGAGGTGCTGGAGAGACCTGGGCTGCACTTGGCAAAGCTCAACCCACAGGTTTTGCCCAGGAAACACATCCTGGCTTGGGGTAGGAAGGGCAACCACCACCAGTGACCACCCCAGCAGTGCTTACAGCTGTTCAAATAGCCTCAAGGACAAGTTTCTCCCAAGATCTACCATGGACCAACTGTTTCACCCTACATGTGTTCAATGCCTCACCGTGCCAGGCAGCAGCTCATCAAGAGAGCACCAACCTCTTTGATTTGGCATCACCTACCTTGTGTGAATAATGCTGATCCACAATTCTGGCCAGCCCAAAGTCACCGATCTTCAGCACCAGGTCTTCCGTGCTGATGAAAATATTGGCTGGCTTGAGGTCACGGTGGAGGACGTTGGCTGAGTGGATGTATTTCAACCCCCGTAGCAGCTGGTACATGAAGAGCTTGGCGTGTTCCTCAGCGAGCTTCCCCTGCTCCAGCAGCCGAGCCAGGTCTGTCTCCATGTACTCCTGGACAATGTAGACCATGTTAAACTTGAAAAAATCCCCACGTAGGTTAGTCCCCTTTGGTCCCAACACCTCATACACCTTCACGATGTTATCGTGGTCCAGGCGACGGATGATTTTGATCTCCCGGAAGGCGTGCTTCATGCTCCGCGCGTCGCCGATGGTGATCTTCTTCACAGCCACTTTGCGGCAGCTCTTGCTGTCCAGGGCTGACAACACCAACCCATTGGCACCAAAACCCAAGGGACGAAAATTAACGAAGCGACAGCCCAGGTCGTACCCGTACATGCTGGCGATACAGTCACATTTCTCTGCCATCGCGGGCTCCGTCCTCTTGCAGCTTATTCCTCTTGGTCACTTGAAAAGTTGAAGAGCTTCAAATTGAAGAGTTTCCAGATCACAAATGTGGTTTGAAATCAGGTGCTTCATTATTATTTAGAGATGCTCATCGCTTCAAGAAGACAAGCAGATGCAGTGAAAGTAGGTGCAAGTGCACACACACACACACACACACACACACACAGGAATAAAATGTTTTAAGCTGGGTTAGAATCAAGGAGTAGAAGACTTTCCACGCAGCGTGGATAAAAGCAGCTCAAAGATCTCCAGCAGAAAACCCAAAGGTTATTTTTCTTGAGATTAAAAGATCAGCACTTGCTACATTTTTCAGTCACTTTCTTGTTTTCCTGCTCCAATATTCCCGAGATGATGCTGAAGTGTGGGGCTGGCAGTGCAGCCGGACACCCGGCTCCACGTCCCCGATGTCTCAGTGCTGGGGCAGCCAGCCCACCCCGCCGTGGGGCAGAGCCCAGAGCAGCCCCATGGCCCCTCTGCTGCCCCACACCCTCTCTGCCCACAAGTTTTGATGGTGTTTTTCCCACCAGTGAAGCGCATCCAGGCACTGGCCGGGCTCCTCAATGATCAGCAAAGCTTCACCCTTCTCATCGCTCTCTTTTCAGTATGGGTAGATCTCATCTTCCTCAGCAGCAGCTAGAAATCTTGATGGCAGCAAATATTTTGCCAGCTCAAACTGGTTTTATCAGCTGCATTCAGTGCAGTAAGTTTCCACGTTCACAGATCCAACCCTTTCCTCTTGTACGTCTGACGCTGGCGAAGCCAAGTGCCATCTGACCTGGATGGAGGAGTTCCCTGCGCTGCGCCAGCCTGGTTATTCCTCAGCAGGTCTCAGTCCCATTCCTGGGAAGAAAAGAAGAGATGGATTCATTTGATAAGAGCATTGTCTATGCCCAACCTATGTAACAACTCGCTGAAGGTTAACCATGAGCAAATCCGTGACCTTTTAGAGACTCATTAGTTACCCTGTCCACAGGCTCATGTTATTACCAGCGTTTTTCAGATGGTTAATTTCCCACTTTTCAATTTGTAATACACAAAAAGTTGTAACTCTTCCTTTCCCCTTTCTTGTTTAATTTAATTTAATTTAATTTAATTTAATTTAATTTAATTTAATTTTATTTTGTTTTATTTTATTTTATTTCATTTCATTTTATTTTATCTTATTTTATTTCATTTTATTTTATTTTAATCTGTCTGAAAATGTTACCAAGTGATTTACAAAGGTCTTGTGTCTCCAACTGCACATTTAAACTCCATGACAAGGAAAGCACGGGAGCACCCTGCAAGGGTACGAATCCTCCTTGTCAAGCAGCTGAGAGTAGATAGAGCCACGGAGTTTTTCAGCTGATAACAATTAAAATTGCTTGGGTGCAAGAAAACTGGGTGCAAGGGTGGGACCATCCCTGAATTCAGAGTCCCAGAGCAAATCACAGCAGCCTGGGGATGCTGCTGGCTCTGTCCATGTGGTCATGAGAGGTGCCAACACCTTCCCAAGCACATCATCTTCCAGAACTGCCTCGATTGGAAAAGCCCTTTAAATACCAATATCTGCTGGGGATGAGGATGCAGATTTAGCCAGAGGCAGGGAAGATCCCAATATTTTGGGGGATTTTCCTGACAAAATGTCATTTTCTAGTGGTAGGTCACCATGCAGGGGTGGCCATGGGTATGGGACCACCTCTTGCAGATGCTTGAGGCT